ATATGTTGATTTGTAGTTAAATCTCTACCTACAGCTTATACAATGCTTCTTACTCTCACTTAAAACACATTGACTCTCCTTTTATATCTTACTACCAATACATGCATTATTAATGCTAAAGAGATAGGAAAATATTAAATGGCAAAGTGATTCAGCATGGGATAATGTCTAGTAAAGTTAGTCTGGTTAATCATTACTACTGAATAGTGAGTTTGGCCCTCACTGGGTGCCCCATACAAAATTTGATATTAAATAACCCATCAAGGTTGATATTATAAAGTCAACCTCCTCCCCAATTCAATGACAACCAATGATGACAAAAGCTAAACTTGGCATACATTTCTCACAACCTGTGTTGTAACTATGGGCAACTTTATGTTACTTTTCTCACAGCCAAAACAAAACCAAATCTAAAAGCTGTTATAGTTAATCAAGCAGAGTGCCACAAAATAAAAAAAGTAGAGACTAAGTTAGATATTAAGTTTTAAAGATTCTTGGCTCTATATTCTTTTTTCTGATCCTCTCGTAAAATGAATAGTTCTTTTTTTTTTAGCTTTTTTCTTGTTCACATTTTTTTGTTTGGATTTTAAATACACATTTTTTTTTTTTGCTGTCTGTTTGTATTTATTTTCTGGAATGAGTTCTATAGACTTTTTCCACACATAAAGCCTATATTTTTATTACTTCAAACATTATTTTTAGGGGATACTCATATTTTTGTCGAATGTCACATTTTTCTTAAGATTTCATCTACCAGCTTTCATCTACCAGCTTTCACATTCAAGAAAACATAACAAAGAAAATGTGCCCTTTCAGAAGATTCAAACTTGTGTCTCCCTTCATAGGAGGAAGCACCCTCTGATCCAGCATGTTTTAGATCACCTGGCTACAGAGAGCCTTGTAGTAAAGCATAGTTGTATTTGCCTTAAAGCAACATCTCCTCGTTTTTCTTAAAAGTCATATCTGCTCAGCTTCACATCTGAAACGTAAACAAATCAATTTTTAAAAAAAGTCCATTAATTCTTTATAAAGCCTATACAAAAGACGTAGAAACAAATGTTTAAAAAAAGAAAGAAAAGAAATCTGAAAATGAAGTCTTAAAATTTATTTTGAAAATGAATGGTAGTAATGATTTTAGACAAATGCTAGAGCTCAGCTCAATATCATTGTCATAGATTGACACCAAGATGACAAAGTCTTCTGTTTAATTTTCAGTTACAGCAAAAAGTTGTAAAGACTGAAGCACCCCCTATAGGTCTGCAGATAAAAATAAAAGAAGGAAATTATAAGACATTAGTTTTTGATTTTTTTGTTTGATGATTAACATATATAACTGGTCTTGCAAATCGATTAATGAGCAAATCTGAGTAAAAAATTACCATAGGGTTATTTGTTTCAAATCTTCATAAAATCTTCATAAAATAAAATGCACAAGGTGATCCAAAAGTCTTGTCACCCCTATATAATATAATTTTTTATTTAAACACTCTGTGGGGTATTATCAAGGAGAGAGCTTCACATGAACGATACCAGAATATCCATCAGTTGAATGATTCTGTTCGGAAAGCCTTCGCAACAATCAACAAAGCACAGCTTCATAAAATATCACATAAGACTTATATAAAAAAGTTTTTGAAGCTAATGCTTCAGAAAAGCAATCCAGAAATTAAGTTTTCTGAATTATTTTGAAAATTAATGGGAGTAATGATTGTAGACAAATTCTAGAACTCAGCTCATCATTGTCATAGATTAACACTACAATGATAAAGTCTTCTGTTTAGTTCTCAGTTACAGTGAAAAATTGATGGGGACTTCGGCCTCTCTCATCTCAAATGAGAATAGCAAAGACAGAAGAGAAGGAATATTTTTAAAAAATATAATCTTTTGTAAAGTTTTGGAAAATTAAAAATAATAATTTTGATAATTGAATAGAAACTTATAAATCAATAAATCATTATTTACACTATTTATATTGAGACTATTGTCCTCATTTTTGTTGTTGTTATCACCACAACAAACAACAAAGATGAGGACAATAACAATAGTAGTCCAAATATAAGTAGTGTAAATAATGCTAACTCCTCATCCCCAAAATTCAGACAGAAGTAACTATTATATTTGCATTTCTTTTATAATCTATTAATAAAATATGTGGGATACTATGAAAGTAATGCCTCATATTTATTACCATGAAAACTAAAACAAATGCAGAAAGAACTATAATATTATTGGATAAAATAAGTTATCAGCTACAAAACACAATTTTTCCAAATAATCATCACCATTAACTGTGCATTTTTTAGGCATTTAGTGAGTTAGCAACAGCACATGACCACCTGGAACATGCTTTGTCATCACATCACTTTTGCTGAAATACATTAGTCACTTCCTAACTGTGCTGATATCCACTGTTTGGTCTCTATAAACAGCTAGAAAGCATTGATGATGTAATTTTTTCTATGCAGCAGAAATTAATAATAAACCTCTGCTTTTCATGTCAGACAGTATTCTGCCAGACTGCTGCTAGCTGTAACAAAACTAAAAAAAATTATGAGTTACTGGTAGAAAGGTTCAACCTTTACTACCATACCCCCAACATAATAAAATAGGAGGCATTACTTTCAGAGCAAGCTTCATACATTGATGTGCAGATAACATAATTAGCAAGCTGAGTTTTTCCCAGCCACATTCAAATTGTCGTTGAGTCTATGGTATTTATTTCACACACCTTAAAAAAAAACATTAATCTATGTCTTCTTCCCCACCGAATCAATGGTTAAAATTACTGGCCAGATTGGGCTCTTTATCCTTGGCTGTTCACTAGACTAGGAGAATGATATCACTAAATTTAAAATCATGCAAAAAAAAAAAGTAAAAGGAAACAATACTCTGACCCTTTACAATATCTAGCTAGAGCAGTGATTCTCAATGGGCATGCTGCAGCATGCTAGTGAACCACATGATCCTCTTAAGTGTGCCGCAAAATACTGTTATATATGTGCATGTGGAAGTAGTAATGGTACAGCATTAGTATTTGAATAACTAAATAAGTATTCAACTTTTTATCCCTGATTAGCTGAAAAGGCTTTATCAGTTTTATTGCAATTTTCTACTTCTTATTTATTAGAATTAGGCTTCTCAATCCTAAATAACATCAAAAAATAATAAATAATAAGCAAGAAAGACTATGCTCAACTGAAGAAGGAATGAGGCTCTGCTTATCACACATTTGACCAAACATTGAAGAAATCACAAAAAAATAACAGGCACAGGTTTCACACTAAATAAGATGTACAAACATTGAAATAAAGTAAGTTCATAGTTATGTGTGTATTTTTAAAAGATCTATGGTTTTATTACATAACATTTAAATGCATACCCATTAAAATGTTTACTAAGTGTGCCATGATATATCATTTGCTCCTAGGTGTGCCATTGCTTAAAAATGTTGAGAAATATTGAGCTAGAGACATTTCCAACCAATGCAGCATTCAGATTGGACCTTTTTGATGAGTCTTGCTTTCAAGCCTGATTATGGAGATACAATGTCTGGTATAACGTAATAAAAAGAGAATGGGAAAAAAGTATTGAAAGGAGAATTCTTCTCAAAATGTTTTACAACTAACCAAAAGGACAAAATTTGGAACCTAAGATATGTTTGAATAGTAGTTTACTGAGCTGGTTGGAACAGTTAAAGAAGCTGTCAGCTAGCTTAATCACCATTCAATGGGATTTGATTTGTCAAGGTCAGATGTAAGTAAGTTACTATAGCAGTGAGTTGAGAAAAGAGGTCTCTGGCTTCTGAAATACCCATGACACTTAAAGAAATCTGAGGCAACATACAAAAGCTCTAAAACTGATAACATTGAACATGTTTGAATAAAATGCACAACCAGACCAAATTTTCTTTAATAATACAAAGTCAACTCACACTCTTCAATTGTAATTCTATAAAGTAGTACCAACTTCTGAAAGTTTTCCACAAATCATAACTACTCTTCAAATCCTTCTAAAATCAGATGGACACTCTCCCAACTTTCAAACAACCCAGCAAAAATTGACAACTCCACATTCTCTTTTTAAAGGACCTGCTGAGCATTTTATGAATTTTGCTAATGCTTTACTCTCTTTGTCAAGGGTTTTTATAACCTCACCTATTGCAGTAAACCTCCAAGTTTTAGAACATTTTCTAGCTTAATTTCTTTAAGCACTCAAATAATTTGATTGACCAAAGCACCTGTCTTCCTTTTTTATATAACAAGTTATTGTAAATAAACAAATTCTTTTTCTTTCAATTTCACACTGAGCAAAAGTCCTTTTATTTTCATGTGCTTAAAGAGTTGTTAATAGATATTTTTTGTATATGGGAAAATGCCCATACTGGTTGGACATGTGATTAACAACTCTATCCAGTAAGATGTATTTAAAACTGAAACTTCAGCAGCAGCAATACGTCATGTGGTGTTGTCATGAACCTTTGCTCCATGTTTAGTCAACATGTTCAGAAAAAGTAAAAAGTAAAATACATGAATTTTATATTTCATTCCTAAAGTGCAAAGATGCATCGTGGAATTACTACCAATCCTACCAGTATATGCGCATGTGGTGTGTGTGCATGTACACACGTGTGTGTGTGTGTGTGTGTGTGTGTGTGTGTGTGTGTGTGTGTGTGTGTGTGTGTGTGTGTGTGTGTGTGTGTGTGTGTGTTCATGGTTGGGCACAACAGCATAAATGGCTTTTGTTAAGAACAAGCAAATTTCCTGTTGAAACAAGATGAAAGCATTTCACCAAGCCAAGCACAAAACGTAGACAAAAGAGAGATTTGCTGCAGGTTTTGCTATTATTTTTGTTTTTTTAATTCTTTAATCTAAAAGGCATCTCTGCAGCCTATCGGCTCTACCCCTGCTCCCTCCTACTATCTGCATAATTGCATTCATCCTTGATAAATGTCGGTCCATTACAGTCTCCTTTACTTCTAGAGAGCCAGAGAGAAAGAGAGATTAATAAGGTGAGAGAGAAGTGAAAGTGATTGATAGAAAGAAAACAAAGTGAAGAAAATTAAAGAAAGGGGAACAGGTTGCAGAAAGACAAAAGAGAAAAAAAAAAGAAAGTAATTGGGAGATTGGAAAATTGGTGAAGTGAGATACAAGCAGAGAAATAGTAAATAAAGAAAGTAGGAGATAGAATAACAGAAAGTTAGAGAGTGGATAATGGTGAAAGAAAGAGAAAGGGAGATAGAAAGTTATAAGGAAGGACTGGCAAAGAGAGAGAAAGGACAACAGTGAGAAACAGAGAGATGAAAGAGAAAAAGGGGGAAAAGCATGATGAAAGAACAGAGATAGAGATTGACATAGGAAAGATAAAAATAGGAATAAAATATAGATTAAAATAAGCAAAGGAAGGGAAGGAAGGAGAAAGCAGGATACAAAAAAAATGAGCTATGAGAATAAGAGAGAGAGAGAACTGGAAATAAAAATAAAGATTGAACAGAGATTAAAGACAGAGAAAAATGATAGATAGATAGATAGATAGATAGATAGATAGATAGATAGATAGATAGATAGATAGATAGATAAAGAGGATGGAGTAATAAAGAGAGCAACAGAGGGAGAGCTAAACAAAGGTACAGAAAGAAAATGAGACAAAGATGAATGATGAGAATGAAAAGATAGAAGGAGAGACTAAGGCAGAAAGAAGAGAAAAGGTGTGATTGACAGATAGAAAAAGAAAAGAGGGGGATAAAGACAGAAAGAGACATAATGATAAATAAGAGAGAGAAGTTAAGAAAAGATGAAAGAGATATAGATCCAGTTTGAGAGGGAGCAGAGGTGAGATGAACAGAAAAGAGAACAACAAAAAGATAAAGAGATGTTGAAAGGAGATTAATATATCAAAGAGGGTGTCTAGTTAAAATAATAATAATGAGGTGAAAAATGAGAGAAAAAAGCCAGAGAGAGAGAGAGAGAGAGAGAGAGAGAGAGAGAGAGAGAGAGAGAAAACATTGGCTAGTTAGATAGGTAGATATTGAATGAATAAATAAAAGTGGCAAGGGAAAAGATAGGTAAAGAGAGATTTACTCCAGTCAGCTTGTTTGTAAGTGGTACTCAGAGCAGCAGCAGTCTGTGTTCCAGTTGAAAGTGTTAAGACAAGAGGAAGTAACTCCTTAGGATGTTGCCACTGTAGTACTTAAGTGTTGGGTATCACAGATAGGACATATATAAATATATACATATATATATATATATATATATATATATACATTCATATATATATATATATATATATATTTGCTGAGAGACATTGAAGCAGGTACTAGTAGTCAGTTTTATTGACAGCAACAGACGACTGGACTGCTACGGGACTTGAGATTCACGTCATATCTCAAGATGTGTTTTTTTTTTTTTCAGTTAACAATGTATTGCTGTTGATGATTTCACAAGCTTAAAAATATTCTCCATTGAGGAGATCAGTGTTTATCTCACTGGAACAACAAATAACAATTCGGGACATCTCTGTATTTAAATTTTTTTTTTTTAAATTCTACAGAGACTTTCAAATTTGCAGGTGACTGATTGAGAAAAAAATAACAACAAAAAATATCAACTGTAAAAATAAACTGAAAAAAATCCCCATAACTGTATTTATATATCTAGATATATACTTATTTCTATATATATGTATATTTTTATCTAAATATATATCTATATATATACCTATATAATCTATCTATATATATATTAATATAGACATAGATATATTCTTGTGCATCATCATCTGCTAAAATTTTCAACCATGTCACTTGGATTCATTAAAAAGAGGGTCAATATTAAACTTAACTGGGGCTCAAAAACAGGTAAGAAAAATGTTTCTAGTTTCTCGTGCTTTGCATATCAAAAACAATTCTATTTCCTGGTTTTTCCAATTTTTGCTTTATTTCTTTTTATTTGCAATTTCATCTTTAGGGTTCCATGTTTAAAAAAATTATTTTATGTTAAAAAAAGAACCCCACTGGTCATTCAAAACATTCATATTTCAGGTAACACCATATGATTATTCCTCTTATTATACCACATTTGTAAATTCTTGGATTTTATATAACAGGGTCAGGTAACCAATACAATTTATTTTAATAAAAGTAATCTTTAACATTAAATTTTTGAAAACAATTGCTGTAAAATCAATCTGTTATTAGATAGGTCACACCTGGGTTTAAAACCAGAAAATATCAGGTATACTATATAATAAACAAAGCAAAATATTGTGGATTAAATGTAATAAAAATTCATGTGGATCAATTTTAACTTGTTACATTTTTTTATAGATATAACTTTTATTTTGTATATATCTGTGTAAGTTTATATATATATATATATATATATATATATATATATATATATATATATATATATATATATATATATAAAATGATGACAAAATATTCTTTGTATATTTTTATGTCTTTTATTTAGTTGACAATGCGGAAGCACAATAAATGTTTTTAGAAATCACAAAATTTATTTTGGCTACTCCTGCAGCTTGACTGGATAGTGTTTTTCTGAACAATTTTTTAATAAAATATGTAGACCTTATCTATCTATCTATCTATCTATCTATCTATCTATCTATATATATATATATATATATATATATATATATATATATATATATATACATACATACACACACAAGCATGTATAGATTATGTTCAGATATTCATTTATTATTCCTAATTTGTTTTTGTTATTTTTTTCCTTTTAAATTATAACAGTTCTATCTGATTAGCTCTAAGTTATTGAAGTTCTCCCAGTGAGATAAAATTCTCACATTTTTCATGGATATGATATAAAATATAAAATGGAGCTTTTGTCATGCTGTCCTTATATTAGTATAAACATGGTTGGTTGAAGTCTTAGCTGATGGGTGTATGTTTATATTTTGTGCCTGTATATTTCACTCTTTGCACTCAGATGATTTATTTAATTTCAAAATCTACAACATGAAAAGCTATAAATGCTGATTCTCATTTGTAAGTTTGTTTTCAACATATAAATTTGATGTATGAATAGCTTTCTAAAAGGTCATCAGATTAAAAAGTACAAAACCTTTTACATTGATAAAACTAAGTTATAAAGAGAAAATGAATGATTTATGTAATTCTATTAAGGATAAATTATGTTAACCTAAGAGTTGTTATTATCATTAACTAGAAAACCCTGTTGGGTTACCTGTTGAGAAAAGGTTATGACAGAAAAATATTATCATTGAAATCACTCCCTCAAAGATTATAGAACTTTCATTGCATTTTGTGCAAAAAGGAAGCTATATTTTTTTGGCACTGAATTTCTTTTTACTCATATGCAAATAAATAAATAAAAATAAAGTATAGTATTGTATAATTAGTTTAATAGTTATATACCTTGAAAATTGAATTTAACTTTAGTTTAGTGCATATTTGAAGATCACCTGGATTTTTTGCATACTTTAAGTTAGTGCATTTTAGAGGCACCTTAATTCAATACAATTGTGCTACTGTGAATTGTTTTGGCTACTTAGTGGTTATATAAAAGCATGCAAAAGCAGATCTTTTGTATCGTAGTGATAAATAACAGCTTTTTAAAAGGTCATCAGATCAAAAAGTATGACTTTTGCATCAATAAAACAAATTTATAAAAAAAAAATTAGGGATAAAAAGTGATCAGATTGGTAACCTAAGGGCAACCTAAGTTATTATCCTTAATTGTATGATTTTAATTCATTTTGGATTTTTTTTTGTTTTTTGATTGCTTTTCAGATAAGAAGATTTTGATGACTGTACCCTCTATTTTTTTGTTTTTGTTTGATTTTTTTGTAGTGTAAAGCGTGAAGAGTTATGTTGTGGATTTAGGTGAAGGTCAGCATTGTATTTATATTTGTTGTGGTCTAATTCAGTTAAAATGATTAAGATTGGGCTTTTCAAGTGCAGATGTAAAAATGCCTTTAAACTAACTATGCAGCTTGGAAAACTCCAATGTTAAAAAAAAAATGAGAAACATTTAATAAATTAATAATACTTATCACCAAAAATAATATTTAAATAGCAAGATAATTCTACTCTGCAGAAAATGGTAGGAGTGAATCATTGTATGTATATAAATGCAGTACTAGATTGGCAGTTAGGTCTCATAATTTCACTGTTGAAATTACTAATTGTAAATCTAACTTCTGTGCTTATAGTTTCTTGTCCCACACTTCTCATTTGTGGAGCTCTTTTCTAGCATCTTGCTTTCTTGTCAGCTATGATCTTCAAAAAATTTAACTGCAATGTCAGTTGTCATGTTCTATCTTCTTGAATGCTGTTCTTTTATTGCTCGCTGTTTTATTCGCTCTTAGTAACCACTTGCATCTTAGTAGCCTTGCTTGGGGTGAAATGAGAAAAAAAATTTTAACAGCTCACTCATCCCATTTTATATTTATAAACATATATACCAGTGATTCTGCCACAAAATGTGTGTGTGGAAATAGTAATCGTACAGCATTAGTGTTTTACTAAATAAACTGTACAAATAGGATATATCATTTGCTCCTAGGTGTGCCATTGCATAAAAATGTTGACTGAGCTGAAGTAAAGACATTTCCAACCAAAAGACATTTTCCAACCAAAAGACATTTTCCAATCAATGCAGCATTCAATCGAACATCTGTTCTGTTTCCTATCCTAACATAAACAAAGACAATTTTTAGAAAATGGATTAAATCCAACATATTTTTAATTTATTTGTTTATGTGTGTGTGGAAGTAGCAATGGTACAGCATTAGTATTTGAATAAATGAATAAGTATTCAACTTTTTATCTCTCATTAGTTGAAAAAGCTTTATCAGTTTTATTGCAATTTTCTACTTCTTATTTATAAGAATTAGGCTTCTCAATCCTAAATAACATCAAAAAATAATAAATAATAAGCAAGAATGACTATGCTCAACTGAAGAAGGAATGAGGCTCTGCTTATCACACATTTGACCAAACATTGAAGAAATCGTGAAAAATAACAGGCACAGATTTCAAACTAAATAAACTGCACAAATAGTTGAATAGAAACATTGAAATAAAGTAACTTCATATTTGTGTGTGTGTTTTTAAATCTATAGTTTTATTTCATAACATTTAAATGTATACCCTTTAAAAATTTTGCTAAGTTTGCTGTGATATTTTCATTTGCTCTCAGGTGTGCCATTGCTTAAAAAGGTTGAGAAACACTGTCATATACACAAATACATATTTTTAACTTATTTGTTTAAACGTTATTTTTAAATGGATACACATATTTGAGTAAATCATCTGTTTTTATTTATTTATTAAACAGTATATTAATTTTTTTTACATCTGCCTGCCTGAATATTCAAGAAATCTTGTTAGAAAAATATGCACACTCCAGCAGGATTTGAACCTGCGTCCCCTAGAGGAAACCATCATTAGATCTGATGTGCCTTAAACCAACTCAGCCACATAGGACTTCCTGATCAAACAAAGTCCGAATAGTGCTTTTGAACACATATCTACCTCATCCGCAAAATATACATATCTGTTCTGTTATCCTATCATAATGTAAACAAATACAATTTTTAGAAAATGGTTTAAATCCAATATATCTTTAATTTATTTGTTTAAACATTATTTTGGAAATGGATAATCATATTTGAGTAGATGCTCTGTTTTTATTTATTTATTAAACACTATATTTATTTATTTACATCTACCGGCCTGAATATTCGAGATATCTT